GTACCCCAAAAGCACCCCAGTACATCTGGGTGTTTGTGATCAAGCAACCAAGACACCATGTAACACACTAACTTGGGCGTTTTCTACCCAGACATATGGACCCAGAGCCAGACTTCCTCATTTTTAAGATGGTATTTCCCCCACACTGGAAATGTAATGGCTACTCACAAACCTCCGTAGCCAACCTACACCAGTTTCCCCCTCCTTAAGCAACTTACTACCCTCATCCCAGGGACTCACCGTATCAATGCTGCATTTAGTGGGGACTCTCAGACAACTTTTCTCACTTCGGTGTAGAACTCTCAAACTTGAGATATTCCAGTCTCCCTAGTAACAAGGATTACATACTTGTACCACCATACTCAATCAGCCTTACTTACAATTAGAGAAGGTTATGCTCTAGAAGAGGTAATTTTCAGGTTCCAAGAAGAATATCCTCTATCCCAAAGTAATTACAACTACCAAAGGTGCTTGAAATTCTACCATTAGAGTTTGATGCCTTTGAAGTAAGCTTTCCTCATAGTTGAAAAATTATCGAAGATGTTACAGAGAAATTTACAATTTCAGTGAGGATTGCATGTGATGAACTCTGAGGTCCCTTCAAGCATGTATATGATTCTGTGATTTTAAATTGCAGATATTCCTGGAAAAGGCCATTTTAATTCAATTAAACATTAAATGCCCATTATAGGCAAGGTGCTGTGTGAGCCACTGAAAATGCAAAGCTGGAACAAAATATAGTCTCAGGATCTTTTGAATGAGTAGAGGGGATAAGGCATATGCATAGTTAGCTATATTACAATGTGTCATCAGATTTAAGGAGACAGACATCCCTTACAAATCCCTTACATGCTGGTGGGGGGAGAAATTCTAGAGCAGGTGTGATGTGATCTAGTGCTTAAAAGAAGAGAAGGATATTATAGAGAGAAATGAGGACTGTAGAAATGAAATGGTGAGTCTTCTAGGTTTGCTACAATAGAGAATATTTAAAGGGCAATGGTGGGGAGAAAACATAAAAAAAAATGGATTGGCAGCCTGATTGTAGACACCTTTGAATGTCATGCTGAGAGTTTGGAAGTTGTTTCGTAGGCAGTGGGGAGCTACTGTCTATTTGCAAACTGGCAACTAACACAATCAGAATTATGCCTTAAGAAGCTTACTCTGGATGCTTTGAAAGATTTGGAAAGATCACTGGGCTTAGAGACAATTAACCTGGATTTGACTCCCAGATCTGGTACTTATTAGTTAAGTAATTTTAGGAAAGTTTCTCTGCCTTTCTGAAACTCAATATGCTTCCTATAAAATGGGGATAATAATAAGTAGTATGGTATAGTAGATAATGTACTAGTATATATAGTGGATAACATACCAAATTTGCAGTCAGGAGAATCTGGATTCAAATTCTGCCTCAGATATTTACTAGATATGTGACCCTGGGCAAGTCACTTAACCTCTTCGGGCCTTAGCTTCTTCATCTATAAAATGAGCATTCAATGGCCTCTAAGGTCCCTTCAGTTCTAAATCTATGATCTGTGGGACATATAGCCACATAACCCTAGGCTGGTCACTTAACATTTAAGTGCCCCAAGCAACTGTGTTATACTGACTTGTGAAGCAAATGCTCTTCTGTATCAGTGAGTGGGAGAAGTTCCCTGCTCAGATGAAATCAGAGATCTAGTTCCAGATCCACCCCACAGATACTTCTATTACTTCACAGGAATTTTATGAAAGAAGTGTTTTATGAATGTTAAAGGCCTATAAAATGTGAGCTTTTATTATTTGGAGTTTGAAAGAATTGAGATGGCGAAGTCAATTAGAAGGTTGTTACATTGGTACAAGTGTGCAGTAAATAGGGCTCTCAACGAGATAATTTTATGAGATAATTTAGAGTTAGAATCAAAGAAACCTGGCAAGTGATTGGATGTCAAGTGAAAGAGAGGGAAGAATCAAAGATGACTGAGTGACAGAGAGGAAAATGGGACTCATCGAAAGAAATAGAGAAATTAGGAGAAAGGATAGTTGTTTGTTTTTAAAGGATGCAGAGTAATGTCAAAATCCTACATTATTAAATAGATAATGGTTGGTGAGCATTTAGAAAACTTAACAGTAATCTCCAAAATTCTACGTGATGTCTTCAAGAACAAGTCATGCCCTCTGATTGCATTTCCTTTTTTGGTAAGGCTATTGGACCAGGAACACAGTGGGCATGACATTTCTGGATTTCAGTGATGCATTTGGCAAAGTTGCTCATGCTTTCCTTGTGGACCCAATGGAGAGACAAGTTGATTTAAAATAATCAAACCCAAAGAGTACTCATTAGTGGTTGGTGTCAGTTTGGAAGCAAATGTCTTAATGGAATACCCCTAAAGATCTGTCCTTGATTCTGTGCTGTTCAATATTTTTCTCAGTGACTTGGATGAAAGCATGTACTACATGTCTATCATATTTCCAGATGGGTTAGCTAGTGCACACACATTCAGAATCAGTAAGATCTCAACAGATTAGAACATGGGCCCACTTCTAAAAAGGTAAAATTTAATAAGTTTAAGAGTTGAGTCCTGTACTTGATTTCAAAGAATCTAATTCTAAAGTACATCGATTAGGAATTCATGGCCTGCCAATAGTTCACGTAGTTAAAGATCTAGGTGTTTTAATGGAATGCAAGGAATACAAGCTCAATATTAGTCAGCAAAGTTATAGGGCAACTAAAAACCTAATTCAAGCTTAGGCTGCAGTACTGTGGCCAATTACTGCAAGCATGTTTTAAGAAGGATGAGGACAAACTTGGCTATATCCAGATGTCCTAAGGCCAAGCAGAATAAACTTAATCCCTCTTCCAAATAAATGGCTTTCAAAACTTGAAGCATTTATCCTGATCCTCTGTCTTTTCTCCTTTGGGTTCTCATTCTTTCCCATTTCCTTTAACATGCTGGTTACTCTTTCCAGACTGTCAATGTCCTTCCTAAAATACGTAGCCTAAAACTAAATAGAAATTGAATTCATCCAGGGGTAAGGTTACAACTTGCAGAATACAGGTCTGCAGGAGGTAGATCAAAGAGGTAGAATTCCAGATGGAAGAATCATAGGGTCATAGAACAGAAGGTCTATGACCTAGAAGTCATCTACTTCAATTTCATCGTACAAAGAACAAAACATAAGGATAGGCAAGGAAAGCAGTTGCAGAGAGAAACATGCAACAAGGGACACATAAATGTGACTATTGTATGTGGAGGGTTGCTTGGGAAGAGGTTTAATTCTCAAACCCTGCCTGGGAGTCACAAATTTTTGCCTTTGTCCTGCCTTTATTTGCTGGGCAGATGGATGAGGGAGCAAGAACTAGAAATGTGATGTTGTTGGTATAGATACCTTCTCTCTACCAAAGAAACTCTCTGCCAATGCAGATTGATGGTCTTAGAGGGTTGTATAGAATACTGAGCAGTTAAATGACTTACCCAGGGTCATATAGTCAAGATTTATTGGAGGCAGAATCTGAACCCAGATCTTCCTGACTGAGGCTGACTATCTACTATGCCATGCTGCTTTTCATTTACAGGTGAAAAAACCATGGCCCATAGAGAAGTGACTTTTCTAAGTCACCCAGCATGTTAGTAGTACAGCCAAATTTCCTGACTCCAGACTCAGGGCTTTTTGCATTATACCCCATGTGGGTGAAGTGTAACTTCAGTTGCTGGAGGGAGCCAGGTTAATGTGGAGGACAAATAAATCAAGGTCTGATAGCCTAGAAAATTACCACTCCTGAAAATGCTCAAACATTTATCTTCTATTGCCAAGCCAGTGGGCATTTTTAATAATAATGCTATTTTGTAGACAATCATATTTCATTCTATTTGATCTGCATTAGGAAAAAGTAAATATATGGTTGTAGAATATTACGTGAGTGGATAAAGCCAAAAGCCCTTCCTTAATAAGATTCCCCAGAAACCAGGAGCATGGGAGTTTGAGAAATCATGTTGTCACCAAACAATTGTACAAACAATTGTACCCAATGTGCAGCAGATCAGAAATGATAGAATAACTGCCCTATGGCTCTGGTTAGGAACCTGTGCATATCAGGGAAAGTTTAACAAAAACTATTCAACGAACAGATTACAATCCCCACCCGTCAATCCAATAGTGCATGTAAGTGAAACGCTGCCAAACACAGTGAGCAAAAGATGCTAATGGGTTCAGCAAGGAAAAAGATGAGCCCATAAACATTTGTCATTTGCAGCATAAATGGGTTGCAAGGATTGGAGTTTGCTTTTCAACTAAAAGTATCTGAAGGTTACAACCCATTCATTGCAGCTGAACTGCTGACACCTGGATTCCATGGCATGCAACAAAGGCAATTTCCTTCCCGTCATAGAAGCATAGATTCATTAAGATTTTGTATTGGAGTGGGCCCCAAAAGGCCATCTAGTCCAACCACTTGCACAGTGCATAACTTCCCCTTCTGCAAGACAGCATCCCTGAAGGTCACTATCTAAGTTCAGAGGCAGTGTGTTTGGGTGGAAAGCTCAAAAAGCTACACGTTTTTGAGCTGGAAGGGATTTTAGAATATAGAACATTCGAATTTGAAGAGACCTTCGTCCTGCACCCTCATTGGACAGATGAGGAATCTGAGGCTAGTGAAGTATCCAAGGCAAGATCCAACTTCAAATCCAGCCCTCTATCCACTAGACTCTACAGCTTTTTGTTTAATGAGAACACCTCTCTTTCCAGATGGGTTAAATAACTTACCCAATGTAACACGGCTAGGAATTGGGGGAGTGGGGAGAAGCCTTTGACATGAAACAAGAACTAGTTTCAATTGCTCATTCTAAGAGACAACGAATCTGGCAAACCCCACCCTCCTCGCTTTAAACTATTTAGCACAATAGAAAAGTGAACTTTTAATATTCTGCTCAGCATTCTTTTTGATCAGCAGCTCCCAAGTTCTCAAGGCATAAGACATTGCAAATGAAAGATCTGTTCCTTGTTTTGTTTCCTCCTTGTTTCAGAGGATCACAGCCATTAAGCAAGCCTTGAATGCCCACAACATCAGCTTTTTCCTAAGAGGAGGCTTCTGGGTACTTGTGACACTACGTGACACAGATTCAGGTAAAGACAGAATTTGTTTTGTTCTTTCCGCAGACATTAGGAGTGGAGGGCTGAACAATTAATTCCCTTTGACTAGACTATATTGGCCCACCAATATGATTTAAGGATCATTCAGCAACTTTATCCAATGGAGCATTGTTAACGATCTGGTGACCTCATTAACCCTTTAGCTACCTATCCATTTCCACTCATAATTTAGCTTGAAGATAGAGGGCTATTTATTAGAAACAAAAATCTGATTCTCAGTAGAACACTTGTTGCCATTGATGATGCCGAAGGATTTCATAGTTTCTTCATCTACAGAATAAGGACATTGGATTCTGCCATCTTAAGTGCAACATTTGAAGGTCTCTCCTAAGGTTCCCACTTGATGATTCCAGCTCCCTCTCAGCTCTAAAGCCAATGCTTCTATGAATCATAAAAAATGTGAACAATCATGCATAAAAATGAAACCAGGAGAGTTGTAATTAATGAATACAGTTGCAGGATTCAGCTGTACCCTTGAAACTAAGCTCTTCAGTCCTCTAACTCCTATGGGTCGCAATTTCTTTCCTTCTTGATTTTATTAATTTTTTTTCCTCTTTGGATGATAATCTCAGTAGGGACTGAAGAGCTTTCCTCTGCTCTCCAAATACCTGCCTTTTTTTTCCTAATCTGATTTTTATTGATGTCTTTTGTTTTCATATCACATTAATTTCTAAATATACCCCTTCTGTCTCTCAGCTGTGCCTTGTAACACAGATTTTTAAAAGAAAAACCCAAAAAACATTTTAGAAAAATCAGCTAACACCTCAGTAACAATTAACAGGATTTGAAATATTCCACATCCATGTCCCCCCACATCTGTAAAGATGGGGGAAGGGTGTGCTTTCAGTACTCTGACTTTTATTATAAAATATATAAATAAAATGTCTAAGGGAAGGAACTATGCATATTTTTGTTGGTCCCACAGAAATCTAAATCCCAGTAGCCAATGAAATACAAATACCAAGTTATGACATAAGTCAGGGGTTCTTACACTTTTTTGTGTCTTTGAAATTCTGGAGAAGTATATGGTTCCCCTTCTCAGAATAATATGTTTTGATGACTTGATATTTATTTCCCCCCAATTACATGCAAAAACAACAGAATGATATTTTAATGCATAAAATAAAATAGATAAGGTTACTAAAGAAACAGCTCATATTAAAGTATTTATCAAAATATGTTTTTAAGATATGTTTTTACACTCTTAGGTTAGACTTTGGCCACAAATGCGAAAACTCCAGACCTTCTTGAGAGCAGGAAGAATTCAAAGTCCCAGACCCACCCTGAGAAAAAGGATTATGATTGCTGGAATGCTTTTAGAAAGTGACACTCTTTAGTGTCCATCGCCCATGTATCTTCCCTGTGACAAGGGAGACCCTTCTCCCCACATTAAGAACCTTTCATTTAAGTAAGAGGCTCACTGAATTTCAGAGCTAGAAGGAAACTTGGTACATAAAACATAGAATGCTTAGGTTGGAAGTGACCTTAGAAATCTAGCCCAAATGCTTCATTTTGCAAATGAGGAAATTGAGTCCCTGAGAGGGCAAGTGACTGTACAAAGGTCACATTCCTTGAAATCCTTTAATTGTCAATCCTCCATTGAGCCTGACCTCTCCAATTTAAGCTATGCCTTATCTAAAGGAAACCAAGGATAGAATTAGAATTCCAGGTGCTGGGTCTTTACTCTAGATCAGTAGGAGACAATCTACTAACTGTCTCATTGATTTGCAGATTCTCAAAGGATTGGAGGAGGAGGTGGATATTGGGCCCTCATTGTTCTTTTCCTTATCTGCCTTTTTGCAATAGGAGCATTCATCCTCTACAAATTTAAAAGGCAAGTCCAGTTTCATTTCTTTCAGGCAATGATATAATAAATGTATGTAAGATGAAATGTTGCTCTGTGTAAATAGCATTGGAAATCCTCCATGTGGTGTGAGGAGTATACCTTGCCTCCAGAATATTGCCCACGTTTATTTGTCATCACAGCCTGAGATTCCACCAGTAGATTCCAACTACAGCTCTTCCACAGCTCTAGTTGAAGGCATCATGCCCTTTTCAAATTCACATAATGATGAGAAGAAGTCTAAGAATTCACTTATCATTCATTCACGCCTCATTTACAAAGAGATTCAGGTGCAGTGGAAAGAGGTGGGCCTTCAAGTCAGAGACCTCCCTCAGTCACCTATTACCTGAGTGACGCTGAGCAAGTCGTCTTACCTCTGAGCATCAGTTTCCTGGTCTATAAAATATAGAAATCATATTGTATTATTTCTAAAGTCACTTCTAGTATCTAGGTCAGTCAAGGCCAGTGTGTCAAGGGACATATCAAGAACGACAGTGAACAAGAATACAGTGTCCTCTGACAGAAACTAGGTTTCCTTTAGTACCAAAAATGAAAAGAGTGAAAGATGATGAGATCAAGGGTGAGGGAAGGAGGCCTGATAACTACCCCTAAGTGTCTGAAACGCACTTAGGGAAGAAGAAGTAATGGAATATTATTTATCCCTAGAGGGCAGGACAACTATGAGCTGTAAGTTGCAGAGGCTGATTTAGACTTGATGTAAGGAAGAACTTTCAAACATTTAGAGCTACCCAAAACTGGAAGCAGTTGCCTCAGGAGGTAATGGGTGGAAGCCCCATGGGTCTTCGAGCAAAGGCTTAATGGCAATAGATAGAACAGATGGGATTCTTGATCAGGGAGAGGTTAGCATCAGATGAGGTTTAAGGCTACTTTCAACTCTGAGTCTATGATTCTCAGTGGGACTGATAAAGCATGATGACGCAGTGGATACATTTTATATGGAGGAGGGAAGAGAAAGGGCTAAAGAATCCACCCAAATGTAGGCCCTCAGTATGAGGCCCACCAATTAATCAGTTAATCAATAGACATATATGCTATGTGCCAGAGCAGCTAGGTGGCGCAGTGAATAGAGCACTAGGCTTGGAATCAGGAAGACTCATCTTCATGAGTTCAAATCCAGCTGCAGATACTTCCTAATTGTGTGACCCTGAGCAAGTCACTTAACCCTGTTTGCCTCAGTTTCCTCATCTGTAAAATGAGCTGGAGCAACGGCGAACTCTAGTATCTTTGCCAAGAAAACCTCAAATGGGGTCACAGAGAGTCAGTATATCACTGAACATATATTCCCAATTATGCTCTTAGATTAGACTGTGGCCACAAATGCAAAAATCCAGACCTTCCTGAGAGCAGGAAGAATTCACAGTCCTATACCCACCTTGAGAAAAAGCATGATTGCTGGAATGCTTTTAAAAAGTGACACTCTTTAGTGCCCATCACCCATGTATCTCTATCTTCCCTGTGACAAACCTTCCTTTTCCTTTAGTTTATAATAAATGTTAACTCTTTATGGGAGGTGAGGAATCTTAATCTGGTGCCCATCTATGGAGGACTAAGAACCTCACTGAGCTGTTTGGGATGCCCCATCACATTGCAACGTGCTGTAAAGATGGTTGATGTGCACAGTAATATTATCTCGATGACCAAAATCTGGCCTCGTGTCTTGTAAAGCTGCCAGGAGCATCCATTACCAGATACTGTGAATTTACACCCTTTCATTAGCCCTATGGTCAGGCACAATTAGATACCAATACAGTTACCCAAAGACAAATGGAGCAGGGAAGTTTTGGGGTTGTTACTATTTTGGCTTTTTATTTCCCTTAAGAAGAAACAAAATTCTCCTCCTGGGACCAGTTGCCATTCTGGAAGTCTGTGTTAACATCTCTCCCTTTGATGAAAATAAGAAGTACATACTAGAGCAGAAAAGATTCCACTACCCTTTAATTTTAGTGTTGATTTTTTTTAAAGAATTTTGCCCTTGGAAATTACAAGGGGGTTTAAATTTTCATTTGGACTTACTTTGAGCTGCTACTGATGAGAATTTGAGAAGACAAACAGGTCCTCTCCGAGAAGCTGATGATTGGATTCTGCACCTGCGGATTAGCTGGCAAATATGCCCAAGCTTAGACCTAATGAAATCTGGCTGGCAGAATGATTATTTTTTTTTAATATTGCATGATTTTGCTATAATGCAAAAAAATAAAAATAAAAAAGCTCTCTATTATATCTCTTACAAATCCCCCTAATTAATATTCAAAAGAGCTTACATGAATATGGACCTGGACAGTAGGTCAAGAGCTTCCATTACAACAAACAAATAATAATAGTCTAACAGTGTCCATTTTTATATCAATAAAACTTAAAATGTTTACAAAGCACTTTCTCTGCAATCACCTGTTAGGCTGTTGGTAGTGTAAGTATTAGTGGTCCCTGTTTACAGATGAGAAAACTGAGGCCCAGGTAGGTTTAGAGACTTGACTGGTAAGTTAATGATGAAACTAGGATTTCAGCCTAGTCCAAATATCTCTTTTCCTATTACTTCTACTAGAAAAAGCTTAATACAGTAGAAATAGCACTGATTTTTCAGTCAGGCAGTAAAGTGCCAGGCGATGTGCTGGGGATACAAAGAAAGGCAAAAAACAGTCCTTGACCTCAAAGTACTCACAGTCTAATGAGGGAGATGGCACACAAACAACTATATACAAGCAAGATATAGACAAGAAAAATTTGAAACAATCAAGAGAGAGAAGTGACTAACATTAAGGGAGATCAGGAAGGGCTTCTATTAGAAGATGGAATTTTAGCCAGGAATCAAAGGATGCAGAGATGAAGCAGTACAGAATTCCAGGCATGGGAAGCAAGTACAGTAGTGGGAAAATCTTGTATGAGGAACAGCAAAGAGGCAAATGTCACTGGATCACAGAGTATGTCTCAGGGAGTTAAGGGGAAAGAAGACTGGAAAGGCAGTAGGGGGGCAGGTTGGCAAAGGCTTCACATGCCAAGCAGAGTATTTTATATTTGATCCTACTGGAGTTTAGTGAATAGGGAGGTGACATGGTCAGACCTACACTTTAGGAAGATCACTTTCACAGCTAAGTGGGGAGTAGACTGCAGTGGGAAGAAACTTGAGACAGGGAGATCAATCAGAAGGTTACTGCGATGGTTCAGGAATGCCATCATGAGGGCCCCCACAGGGTAGAAGCACTGTTAGAGAAAAAGGTATAAGGTAAAACTGACAGGATTCAGCAATGGATTGAACATGAGAGGTGAGAGAAAGCAAAGTGTTAAGGATGACACCTAGATTGTAAGCCTTGATAACTGAGAGGATGGTGGTCCCATTGATAGTAATAGGGAAATTTAGAAATGGGGAGGGCTTTGGGAGAAAGAGAATGAGCTAAGTTTTGGATATGATGAATTTAAGATGTCTATAGCAATCCAACTTGAGATATTTAGTAAGCAGTTAAAGATATGATTCTGGAGATTAGAAGAGAGGTTAAGGCTGGGTAGATAGATCTAACAATCATTAGCATAGAGATGAGAGACCTGAACTTGAATCTTACCTCTTAGACTCTTAGCTATGTGACCATGGGCAAATTATTTCATGTCTCTGATCTTTAATTTTCTTATCTGTAGAACAGGGATAGGAGGTAGCTAGGTGACTCAGTGGATAGAGCACTGGGCCTGGTGTCAGGAAGACTTGAATTCAAATGTGGCCTCAGATACTTACTAGCTGTGTGATCCTGTGCAAGTCACTTAACCCCATTTGCCTTAATCCACTGGAGAAGGAAATGGAAAATCGCCTCAGCATCTTTGCCAAGAAAACCTAACGGATAGTATTGGCACACTGTGGTCTGTGGGGTCATGAAGAGATGAACACACCTGAATGAATGAACAGCAACAAAAGAATAAGGATAGAAATGCTTTAAATATCTCGTTGTGGTTATTGTCAAGAAGTACTTTGTAGGGGCAGCTAGGTGGTGCAGTGAATGGAGCTCTGGCCTTGGAGTCAGGAGGACCTGAGTTCAAATCTGACCTCAGACACTTAACATTTACTAGCTGTGTGACCTTGGGCAAGTCACTTAACCCCGATTGCCTCACCAAAAAAATAAATAAATAAAAAAATAAAGAAGTATTTTGTTAACCTTGAAAGGCAACAAGGCCATTGCATTATTGTTGCAATTATTCTTGTTATCATCATTATTGGCTCAGACACATGATTTCATCAATATGGAAAATCCCAGCATAGAAATTCTTTCCACGAATTCGGATCAGCACCCCTAAAATCCACAGTCTTAAAGAACTGTCTGGAGGATTAAGAGGTTAAATGAGTTGCTCGCGGTTATTCAGCCAGGATGTGTTGGAAGTAAGACTTGAACCATGGTCTTCCTGACTGAATGTGGGCTCTCTGTCCACTATACCAAACTGCTCCCATTGGTTCACAATCACATGGCACTTATGCCACAAATACACACACACACACTCTAGTGCACAGACACTGGTAACTTTCGCCAAAATGTGAATCTAATGCAGATGGTTTGCCCAGAAGCTTTATGTGGAACCAGAATTTAAAATTAACTGGAGCTTGCTATGATTTTGAAACTTAGATTTTTTTTTTTTGCTACAGATGGGCAAGCAAGGAAGGCTATGGTCTGCATCACTTAAAGCAATAGTCACATCAATGAGATCATAGATATACTCAAACACTCAATATATACATTGACTCTCCCGTGATGCTTTGATATCTGGTTGGACCCAAGGTTTCGTCTCCTTCCACTGGTATAGGTTGCAACCTATCTCTAAATTTTCATCTTTTGCAATTCTTGTTCATGTCCTTCTACAAATCCTCCCCAGGGGATCTACTCATTATGTGAAAGCACTTCTTTTGGTTCTTCTAATAGGTTAGGAGTACTAATGCAGATGTGACTTATCCTTTTCCCTCACTCCATGACCATTAACATTTATTAAGCACATACTAT